ACTGAAGGTATTAACGTGTTAGGGTGAATTCCCTGTCGATGGCGAGCAGTGCGAAGATAAAAGATGGCCGCTGGTATAATTTCTAAATGTTCCTCAGAACACAATCCGTTATATAAGCAGTAGAACACATAAAAGGATATAAAGTCTCGCCATAGACTTAAAGGCTCGATACCGCTTGTTAGTTCGAATCGAGAGGCCCAAGCTGGTATCTAGATGCTCCCACAGACGAGAGCATAAGAAAAAATTTTCTATTTCACTGAAAGAAAATTCCTTTAAAATAATTATATTAATTACTATAATTATTATGAGATAATTATTATTAATAATTTCCTCTAGATTTGGATTTCATCCTGTAGGTATACATTCGTCATCAAAACTAAAAACATATTTTTTATTACAAACATTTCATCGGTCAATATTTTTATATTAGATTTGCGTGAATTTTAACATTATTTGATATTACTTATCTGTTTTCCTTGAAATCGGCTACAGACCGGATCATGCGTCCGTGACTGGCTCATACAAAATATCTCATACAAATAAATTATTGCATTGAACAAAAACATTGTATTTTGTATTAGCGGAATATGTACGTGGGTGTTTCATATTAAATGTGTGACTTGCTACTGATCGTGTACATTATTATGAGGGGAGGATATTTGGTGGAAAATATCCTCTCCTCATTATTTGAGATTTTAGAATAGTAACACAATAATAATTAACTTTTCTGTCTTTTTTTTTTATACAACTTAGAATGGCAAACAAGCTGACGGCCCACCTGACGGAAAGTGGTAACCGTCGCCTATAAACATGAGCAGTACCGTGGACATAACAGAGTATACTGTTTTGCCCATGATACCCCCCATGCGTTGCCATTCCTGAGGACTCAGATGTTATTCCTCTGTAGCCAGTAAATTCACGCCATATCCCACTTCAAACCGAAACACAGCCATGCAAACACAACTGCTTCACGGTTGAAACACGAATGGGACAGAGATACCCAAGCAAACGACTTTTGTACAAAGTCTCCCTCTGGTGTCTGATTCAAAGGATTGTTAACTTTTAACATTATTTATGTATGTGATCGTATCCAATTTCGGCTTCTTTCTTGTTACAGCTACGAGTAGTAGGTAGGAAGGGATTGTTAGTAATGCTCATGTTACTAATACTACCTACCAGCCCCATTGCATGCTAGATTTTATTTAATTCAATAAATTAATAGTTTATATTTTGTACAAATTGATATTGTTAAAATTTTGTAGGTCCTGGTTACTTTTATTAAAGAATTTATTTATTATTATTATTATATACCCTATCAGGTCGACCTCCACGTTGTCCCCCTGGAAGCCATCGTGCCACATTCCAGGTTTATTCATACGATCGGCTACTTGACCCTCATTTTCATTCCCACTTATCATACTTCACTGGTGCCCCGACAGCGTGTACCGTTAGCGTTTCATTATCATCCATTGAAAAAAAAGTACGAGGAGTATAACAAAAATACTTACCGATATAGGAGGGGGGAAGGAGACTCTTAATAATGGTAATTAGCGGCCCTATTGGTAGCAATGTTTTCTATCAGGTCGACGTAAACACGGTCACCCGGGGGGAAGGGGTTGTTAGTAATGGGGAGGTTAGTCTCTATTGCTATCAATGTATCCTATAATGTATCGGGTCGACCTCCACGCAGTTCCCCCTGGAAACTATTGTGACTAATTTATCGTTGAATTAGTCACGATGAGCTAACTGACCTGCCTATTCATCCTCACTGGTGCCCCGCCAGTGTATACCGATAACGCAGGCGGGGTTGCCATTCTATTATCATCTATTAAAAGAAAACACCGTCACCCTTGGAAACTATCATAGTGAATTCGTCATAATAGGCCAACTCACCTGACGTCCTCTTCACCTATCATCGTACACTATTTTATTCTGCCGGGATTACCATTCCATTCTGAATTTACAGGGTACAGAGGAATAACACCCGAGTCCTCAGGAATGGCAACGCATAAGGGGCATCATGGGCGGAAAAGTATACTCTGTTATGCTCGTGTCTATAGGCGACTGTTACCACTTCCCATCAGGTGGGCCGTCAGCTAGTTTGCCATTCTAAGTTGTAAAAAAAAACTCGCATAAATAACAAACTTACCAATATATCTCTGTCCGGGTGCGTATCTCTCGACGTCTCCGTTCACAATCAGCCGGTAGAAGTTGTCACCGGGCGACTTGGGTGCAGCATCAGCGGGTTGCAGCTCGCAGCCGTGTGCTGCCGCCAGGCATACGGCCAGGCACACTACTACCCACATCATGGCGGCACACTCACACACACATCTGTTCAACGAATGAATTAATATTATAGCAATGTAATATGAGCATTTGAGGCGAACCCTCGATTGATGGAGTGCCGACTTCAAGACTGTTCATCATCATCATCTCAGCCATTATTTACCCATTGCTGAATCCTTCCCCTCCCCTCCTCCCTCCCGCCCCTCACCATAGTCTGCATTAAGGAACGGTCCTGAGCCACCTGCATCCACTGACTCCCTGCAATGCATTGGAGGTCGTCACTCCGTCTAGTCGGGGGTTGTCCTACACTGCGTTTGCCTGTACAGACTCGCTACTCAAGAACCTTTCTTCCCCAACGTTTGTCGGTTTTTCGAGCTATATGACCAGCCCATTACCGTTCAGCTTGTTTATCCTTCGGGCTATGTCGGTTATTTTGGTTCTTTTGCGGATATCCTCGTTTCGGATTGTATCAAGCAAAGAGATTCCGAGCATAGCCCCTCTCCATAGCTCGCTGAGTAATCAAAAATAATCCAGACTGTTATTACAAAGTTTTGCATTGTTATTGCTATTATGCAGAGTTTTAATTGATGCAAATGGCGCGGAATTGTGTGCTGTGATAAAAAAGAGGTCAAAACATGTTCAACAGTTAACGATGGACATTTTATAATGATATTGATAACAAAATAACTAGCAAAAACTATTTAAACTTATCATCTAGCTCTCTTACTTATGATCCTATGATCTGGTACTGCTTAGTAGTTTATGTTCACACAAATTTATTATTTACTCGTTTATAGTTAAACTTTTTGAAAAAAGCAACAGCTCTGTTTTATGCCCGTTCTTCTTGGCTGTAATTGCGTTCCGAATGGGCGTTAATGGAAAAATGACTATACAGAAATGCTTAAATCTAAGTTTATTTGCATAAAAATATTTCTTTATTTCTTACCAACACGAATCCACTCCTCAATGACGCAATAATAGTACATATTACTTCGCGCAAATAAGGTCCCGGATTTGATGTCCGTAAATAAAAAAAAAATATCCGTACTAACATTGTGATTATTTCTTGTAATTATTTATATTTATAATAAGTTTACTATTGTAATCTTTTGGAGGAAACAATAAAGAGTATCTATCTATCTATCTATTATTACAGTAACAGGGAATTTATTTATTATTTCTTAATACCTAAATCGTTCAATCGTAATATACATAAAGAAGTACATGAAAAGACTAATATTTTACGGTGATTAATATATGTAAATATAAATATAAATTTATATAAACTTCTAAATAATACTATTAATGCCACTGTCATTAATTAAATAGGTACTTGATTATCAACAAAGTTCGAGAATCATTATTTGGCGATATACTCACATAGGAGCAGCGGTCCGTTAGCGGCGGCGCCGGCGCAGAATGTGCGCGGTATCAGTGCAAACGGCCGGACCACCAGATAAAGGGTCAAGTGAGGAGTCATATTATAACGACCGACCCGCCTCTACACATCTACCACCTATATCATTTAAGATGGACAAACAAACATTATCTGAACATTTTGAGCCATCAATATTGCAAAATTGACCCAAATATTTATAAGAAGGCTGCTTGATTACTTAACGTTGTTTTGCAACCTACCAGCATCTTAGCGGGTCCATTTTTTTTTATCTAGATAAAAAGCATATTTATCAAAGCAAAGTTTGTTAGCAAAGAAGCATACAGCCCGTCTGATGGTAAATGGTCACTAGCCTATGGAGGCGACAACACTAGGGTTATCAATTGTGCGTTGCCAATCCTGAAGAAACCTTAATTCACCTTTTTTAAAGAACCCGTAACTGTAATTTCTTCGAAAAGGAAAACTTCGGCATGGAGCTCATTCTATAGCCTGAGCGTTAGCTGGAGAATACACCTCCCATATCTTTCAAGTTAAACTTATTTACAAAATTTCACTAGCACCAGTTTTGAAGATTATCGTGCGTGAACACCGTGACACGGTATTTTAATATTATAGATAAAATCGAGTCAAATATTAGAATCGACATCAGTAAGAATTCAAGGTTTTCACCTCCCCATCTTCCTGTATCATCTCCTAATGGAAGTAAGCGTTCTCCTAAGCGTTATCCTAACTTTAAAGACTAGCCGCCCGAAATACAACTTATGTTAGCCGCTTAGCGTTAAAATTTGTTAATGTGCTAAGCGAGAATACATTTTGGAAACATTTTAAAGCGATTGCACTATGAATTTGTGCACGACATATTAGGTAATGAAAACGCGTCTTAAGATAGGAATACTCTTGCGAACAAGTTTATGCAATATCGTCTTGCAATATTACTGTTGATATATTTTGTCTCATTTGTTGTTGATAATAGACGTGATATTCGTATCACGCAGTAAATGATACGTGATCACAAATCATGTCGACACGACCAACGTATAAACATGTCCATTATGGATGACACCGGCCATAAACCGTCATTACTGTCAGGCACTAGTTAAGCTATGTGACTGACTGAAACCGCTTAGAATGTTGCAACTGCAACATAATATTTTAGATAGCGATACTTACCTTAAGGGTAATATATCGGGAGGAAGTGATTATAAGTAATGGGGAGGTTAGTCCCCATTGCTATCAATATACCCTATCATGACGACCTGCACGCGGTTCCCCCTGGAAACTATCGTGACTTTAATTCGTCACGATGAGCTAACTGACCTGCCTTTTCATCCTCACCTATCATCCCTCACTGGTGCCCCGCCAGAGTATACCGATAGCGCAGGCGGGTTTATCATGCCATTTTCACCCATTAAAATAAAGGTAATATACCTAAGGCGTTAATGAAATTTACATTAATACTAGCAAACTTAACTAAGGTTATTTATCACTTATCGAGATAAAAACTATTGTAGCTCTCAAGTTGGAACAAACAAATACACAGTTTACAAAATTCATTAAAATCGGTCGAGTGGTTTCAAAGACTTCCGAGATTGAACACCGTGACACGGGATTTTAACATATTAAGATAAAGTGATATATTCAGGTGACCCACGTAGCATGGTGGCCCTAAAATAACTAATTCTTAGAATAGCAAACTTCATCTTGTTACCTGAGAAATAGAAGGTATGTTTCCTATAAAAAGATATAAACGCAAACAATGTATTTAGGGCTCGCCCTAATTGCTTGACGTAATCGCGTCCGGCCGCCGAACGGGGGTCAAGGCTGCTACATAGGGGTTGCAACTAGCATAGCAACTACCTGACATACACACTCGCCCGCCCCGACTGCCCGCTCACGCACTCCTCGAATAAATAGCTTGTTTTGATAACTTTATCACATATTTTTTATGTCAACGATCAAACACGATATGAGAAACCAAACAAGATCGAGATCCGAGTCAATTGTAGAATATCCACGACGCCGTTATAACACGTTGTTTTACGTATTTGAAGTCCAGCGTTCGATTTTCGTAGGGGCTAAATTAGGAAAAGAGCTTTTCTAACTAGAGTAGTCTTCATCTTCACCTATCATCACCCACTGATACCCGGCTAGCGTATACCAATAGCGCGAACGGGTCTAACATTCTATTTTCAAACCAATATAAAACTAGAGTAGTCTGTAATAACTTACAATTTATTTATCTCCTTTGATTTAATAAAATGTTATTCATCTACCTATTCACATATACTGTGAACAGGTTAAGCAGTTAAATAAATAATGGGCTAGATATATTTGTAAACAGGATGCAATAAACTAAAAGAAATCGTTATGATGATCGGAAACGATCGCTGTTTAGCGCGGTCGCGGTACGAAATTAAATTAAACACAGTGTAACTTGGGCTGTAACACGATTCGAATAAATGTAAAAGTTTACGAAGATGTCATGAATGTTTGTTACACATTGGATCATATGCTTGTTCTTCTAATACCTACTTAAAGCAACTTTATTCTACTTTACGCAGACCAAATAATCATTCCCGTGAAATTTATCTAAACTCCAAATAAATTTTATTGAACGGATTAACATACTAAGCAGTACTTACCACTCGGGCATCGTTCGTACGTAACCCAATATTCGAAGACGCAACTCCAAAATGACTGCAGATACCTGTCCAAATTATAAAATTTTAGCGCTTGTGGCGTGGTGCAGACTTACCTAATGTGAACGCGTGGAGGTGTCGGCAATGTACGACGGTAGGGACGGTAGGGAACTTGTAATCTGTAGCCACACCACGCGCGGTGGCCGGCGGCGAAGTGTCAGTGGTAATGAACGGAGAGCGTTGCTCAAGAGGCCGGTGACGGCAGCGGACAAGTGATGTCTTCCGGCGTCGGCTCGTTGGCTCGTGCCGCATACCTCGCGCCGCCTACACCGCACTACGCGCCCGCGGTCTGCTCCCGGGTCCCGCACCATTTCAATAATTTCTATGATCATATCAGGACGATGATAATGGAACGTAATCTCATCTGCGCTATCAGTATACGCTGGTTATACCAGTGAGATATGCCAGGTGTATTTTTTTTTCAATGGGTGATAATGGAATGGTAACCCCGCTTGCGCTATCGGTATACACTGGCGGGATACCAATAAGCTACGACAGATGAGGATGAAGCAGGTCAGTTGGCCCATCGTAACGAATTAAACAATAAATCAATCACGATGGTTTCCAGGGGGAACCGCGTGGAAGTCGACCTGGTAGAATATATTGCTAGCAATGGGATTTCTAATCTCCATTACTAACAATTCCTTCTCCGCCCTGCCAGGTGTATTGTATTAACCGTTAACTGTCCACTGTTGAACATAGCCTACCCCATAAAAGGACTTCTACCAGTAGTTGTCACGCTGGGCTTGGTGATGTTTTAAAAGGAACGCTGCTGCCCATCCCTCCCTTAGTCGCCTCTTATGACACCCACGAAAAAGGAAGGGATGATCTATTCTATGCCCGATATACGATGGGCCTACGCCCATCATAACAAATGTATCAGGAATTTACTGCGATAGTTTCCAGAAGAAACCACGTAACAGTCAACCTGACAGTCACTTGTTCCTTCCTTCCAGTTGTATGAGGAATCGAGGGTTCGCCTGAATGAGATTTGTCCACTGTGGTCAGCAGCATTGTAAGTATTACTGTGTTTTGGTCTAAAAGATTATATCAGTCATTACCTTAAATGGTAATTATTTAGCAAGGGATAATGCAATATATAGCACAAGACATAACACATACAATTCCTTAATCCTATTAAATCCTAGACTTTTTTGTACAAGCCGCAAGTCTCTGCCCCTCATGGAGTACTGCTCTCATGTGTGGGCCGGAGCACTTGGATACCAGCTCGGTCCTCTTGACTCGGTTCGAAAACGGGCAATGAGAATTATTGACAATCCCAAGCTCACAGGCGGGATCGAGCCCTTAAGTCTAAGGCGAGACTTTGCCTCCCTTTGTGTGTTCTGCCGCTTGTACAATGGATTGTTCTGAGGAACTGTTTGAAATGATGCCTACAGCCACCTTTTAGCATTGCACCGCTCGCCATCGACTGGGAATCCATCCTCACATGCTTGAACCTAAATGGTCACGTACAATGCGGTTTTAAAGGAATTTTCTTCCGTGAACGTTCAGGCTGTGGAATGAGCTCCGTGCCGAGGTTTTTCCTAAAAGTTACAGTATGGGGTTCTTCAAAAAGGGTATACAAAGGTTTTTTTCAAGGTCGGCAACACGCACTTAACACTGTTAGTGTTGCAGGCGTCCATAGGCTACAGTGACCGTTTACCATCAGACGGGCTGATGCTTGTTTGCCACCTTTCTGGTATAAAAAAATCGCAACAATAACTACATGATGGGAACCATGAACTTCACAGCACACTACAAGATATCCATGGCGTAGATATATCGAGGTACCCAACACAGTAATGTCTGTGACTCGTAAGAAGACATCTCATCATTCTTTAGTTATTTTAAGATCGCTACCTTACTTGTACTCCACCTTCTATAGTACCAGAGGGAGACTACAAAAGTTGATTGCTTGGATACCTCTGTCCCATTCATGTTTCAACCGTGAAGCAGTTGTGTTTGCATGGCTGTGTTTCGGTTTGAAGGGTGGGAAATGGCGTGAATTTACTAGGTACAGAGGAATAACACCTGAGTCCTCAGGAATGGCAACGCATGGGGGGTATCATGGGCGAAACAGTATACTCTGTTATGTCCATGGTACTGATCATGTCTATAGGCGACTGTTACCACTTTCCATCAGGTGGGCCGTCAGCTTGTTTGCCATTCTAAGTTGTATAAAAAAAAACCTAATGTGTTTAGAATCGAACTGTATCAGAGTAAAAAATTTAAATATGTCCTATACTTATAATCCAACTAGTGAAACAAAAATCGCTAGAAGTCGCGTGCTCCTGGTCTATAATGATAACAACAGCCGCTCGCAATGAGAAAACCATATTTAATTCATGTTATTAGCTAACATCATGCTGTAATATTAATATTATACCCATTAGAAGGTATATTAAGCTTAAATTTCCTTAATTGCAATCTACAACAATTTATTATGAATAAATTAAATTATAAATTCACATAAGTACCTAGTCATATAATGTAGACAAATCTACTTGCAACCCAACTATGTCACAGTATGAACCGCTCAAGTATCTACTGAATTCATAGGTTATTTGTACCAAACTAGCTCTTGTCTGCGATTTCGTAAACGTTGATTTTGAACATTTTCCCCCACACCAAAAATCTATAATAAAATACGAAAAAAACTATACAAGATTCACCAATGAATGTATAAATTAAAAAAATTCTTAGTCGATAAATGTTATTACAATGTATGTAAATTCTTTAATGATAAAATTTGATAAAACGAATATTTATTTATATTTTCTCAAACATGCTTGGAAATGTGAGCATTATTTTGACAATCTTCTTCGAGATAAAATTGCCGTACTGGTCAAATACATGAGGGCAGCGGCCGGCAAAAGTTGTATGAAAATCCATATCTGTCGTGTTTTGCGGCCAGATAAATTATTATATAAACTCATATCTGTCCTGAAATTTAAAAATGGAATGACCATTTACTTCGAAACATGGCTACCAAGGAGGTAACTAATAAAAAGTTTTATTTAAATTTCGAACTGGCTTGCAAATAGAAAGCTGTTTATTGAAAAAAAAAATAAAGGAACTTTATGGCGCCTGAAAAATTATTATTGTTCGTTATTCGTCATTGAACTTCAAAAGTAAAATTGTGTTATTGATTTCCGCGCATTGTTTGAGAAAAGCACTATACAAGCCTTGGCCACAATTAGGCATTGATGGACTCACGTATGTGTGCCTCGGCTACGCCTCGGCCCACATATGCACGTTCGTCCATCAATGCCTCAGTTGCTGGCCGCTGCAGTAATGTACTATTATTAACATCATTGTGACATCGTTCTTTTATTCTTACCTGACAATTATTATTTATTTAAAAGTATTTAAAATTGGAATGTGATGACGATTAATTGTATGAAATGGACTTGCTGATGTATAATTTTGGAATGTCTGTGTAACTTTAATACATATGTTTGTATGGCGTACAAGCTAAACATGTCGAACGAGATTTTAACATCTGCATGTTTTACAAATAAATAATCTTGAATCTTAGGGGTTAAATTTTCAAAATTCTTTTCTTATTGTTCTCCTAAGCTGTATAAAAAACATATCTGCACAATTTCAAGATTCTAGATTCAGCGGTTTCTGTGCGTTGATAAACTCGTATGGGTCAATCAATCAGCCACTCGGCATTTTATATATAGATAACATATACGTTACAGTACATACCTATCTAAAATACACGATAAATTGTTACTCCGCCTTTATACTCTATAATCGAACTGAAATGTTTTTTTTTTGTTTCAGGTAATTGTTATAGAAGAGAGTGCACGTGATTGAGCAGGTAGAAAAGAGAATTAGTACTAGGGTCGATTCTAAAGTCCCTCTGAAGTGATACTGAAGGTTCAGTATATAGCTAAAATATAATAAGTATTTCTAAAATGAAAGATTTATTAGAGAAACCATTCTATTATACGGATACTTAAGAAACTCATCTTTTTTAAGAAAATTAAAAAATACATCGACTCAAGCCTGTAGATCGGGGGGGAAGGGATTGTTAGTAATGTGGATTACCAGTCCCATTGCTAACAATATACCCTAACAGGTCGACCTCCCCGTGATCCCCCCTGGAAACCATCGTGCTGAATTCCAAATGTATTCGTCACGATAGGCTAACTGACCTGCCTTTTCATTCTCACGTATCATCCCTCACTGATGCCCCGTCAGCGTATACCATTAGCGAAGGCGGGGTTACCATTCCATTATCATCCATTAAAAAAAAAGCCTGAAGATAAGGGATTGCCGAATTGACTAGACCCAAGATCTACTGTTTACTGACGAAACCTTGTGCGATCTACTGATTACATACTTCTTGAAATCTCAAATGAAACAACATAGTTCAGTGCACAATTATGTAGTATTGTAGTTTTTTTTTTATTTTATTAAGAGGAAAACATGAAACTTAAATCTATTCTTAGTAACTACTTATTTATATTAGTGTGAGCATTGCGTCTGAACATCTTCCGCTAGATTAACAAAATATTATATTATTTGTCTTGTCACGATCGACTGGTCTAGTAGTCGGGATCGACCGGTTGGCCACCCCAGCTGTAGGTGATGTAGTAACGGAATGAACAAGGACAACGTAGACTAATCTGTGAAATACGAACTTGATCGTACTCTAAAGAAGATAAGGCCTCGTTCCAACAATTCCGGCTCCAAATAGATTGAACTCAAACGATTTCTTCCGCTGTCTAAAAAATATGACCAACAGTGTAGTACGATCAACAAGCATTACTTCCCGCCGCCGCCGCCGTCACCGCCGTCACCGCCGCAGCCGCCGGCGCGTCTTATAATTAGAAGTACTGTATAATTTTCGGTAATTACTTGTGCGGAGTTATGCCGGTGCACTCATCAAAATATTATGTACTTACCTATATCTACCTACATGAGTGTTTAACAATATTTTAATATCGGCACACCCGCCAATACATGTTCCGTTACTTGTATAAAATTTAATAAAAATAGGTACGTTTCATGCCATTCCAGCAGATCCCTCGTCCGACGACGCAAGGCTGATGTATGATATTGTTGGATGTAGCTTTTAATGATATATCTTGCATTGAGGCTTACATTTGACCATAAGTTATTTATTTTCTCCCTCATCATATAATTTTTCCACGAAGTTCCTTTCGTTCCTGGTATTTCATTTTGCGGGCTAGGGGGGATATCTTTAGATATCTTTTGATTATAAGAATAAATCCAACGATATCCTAAAGTTGATTAAGGTACGATGGGATTGACATGTCTAAAAGGACATCGTCATTAATTCATCAGGAATTAACTATGATAGTTTCCAGGGGAAACGCGAGGAGGTCGACCTGGTTGGGTATATTGCTAGCAATGGGATTCTCATTCAAAGCAGTTATGAATTAGTCACTGGGAGATAAAATGAAACATCGCCATAGTTGCTTGCAATAAATTTTATTCAGTCAAATTATACAAATATCAAACACCCGTGAGATATAGCGGACTAGATTATAACTTCCTTAACATAGTTTTGCATAGCAGTTAGTTATACAGGGCCGCTCTTTCAAACTTGAGGTAGTTTTCTTTCCTGAATGTATATCAAGTCAGTAATGTGAATCGTGTTGCTTCCAGCCCTATTTAAAACAGATGCATTCAAACTCGCTACAATCGTATGCATGTTAATATATGTTATACATAATAATATAACGTAACAGATGTACAAAAATAACGTTTCACCGTGTATACTCCGTTTTTCTTAGTCGGCAAATTTAATAAACAATGTTGGTATGTTTTTTATCGTATAACCCGTACCTATACAAACAAATCCCTAGCGAGAACAAACAAAGTTTAATGTTAACAATCTATCTACGCCTCCTAGCTATTTTAGTGGTCACCGATTATGTTGTGATGTATATTATAATTGATTTGACTATCTTATTTTTAAATGCCAAAGTATGCTTACTAAAAATGCCAAAAAAGAAAAAAAAAAATATATATATATATACATACGCATGCCACCCCGCGTAACATTGTCATATTGCCAATATTTATAGAGTATCGAGTTTTGCAAATATAATTGAATTACCTTATTGTTATAACACGCACCAATATTCACAATATGTATTGTAAATTGTACGGAATGTATTTATACGGAATGTAGCGACATCTAGTATCGGACAAACAAACTGCGACGCTGTACGAAGCACACAACGCGGCCATTGAATATTGGTACATGTCATGTAATGTAGGTATAGCTAAACTATTCATAATATAAACTAAGTACTTGGTGAAATAATTATGTACGATTACATAGCATTTTAGGCCTAATGACTAGAAAATAATGCTTTGGTTACTCGCAATATACCAACGAACAATTACGCCATCTGAAAATGCAAATTTACATAGATAGTCGTTAAAACAAATTATTTTATTGAGAATAATCTCATATCGGAAGTTTATTAATTATTTAATACTTTCTATTTTTTCTCTTTGTAAAAGTAAACATAAGTCCAACGACCCGTGACAAACTTGAATATACTCATATGTTATATAAAATAATGAAGACATCGATTTTATTTATGCAATATAATCACAAAACATTACATAAAAACACTTTCACAATTTCATCAAATAACCTGAATATTTCCTGAAATAATGTAAACTATTTTTAGCATTAAGCACTTGAGAAATCACGTGAGCAACGTGAATAATGTCCACAGGATTACACAGATGGCGCTATTATCCATGCGAGGGTCAATCGTATGAAATGATCGACTTTTATGATACCCACTGAGAGAGGGACGTAAGCTGACGAATCCGGCACCCCATGGAAAGTGGCAACTACCACCTATTGTACCATTCATACTACCCCACATGCGTTGTAACACCTGAGGATAGTTAATAATTCTGATACTATTAAATTAAGGACTACAGTTATTTAACAACGATTAATTATTATTATACCTAAAATAAACATGAGGTCGTCCACGGTAATGCCCGTGCATGAAGTCCATGATTTGTGTTCATATTTTGTTTATCTATAGGCAATAGTTACCACTGTCCACCACTGACGGTCACTATCTGTCCGTCAGCTTATTTCCCATGTTAGGTTGCATAAAAAATGCATAAACAACTAAGTGAATACATGAATAATATAATTTGTTGCGTATTATATCGTGCGAATTTGTTAGCCTAACTAATGGAATGATATCGTCGGCCCAGTCGTGAGATGTTCGCTCGCAGTCACACACACACACACACACAGGCGGTCAATGTCTGGCCGATAACGCTATATGTGTACATACTCTACAAAACTCACCAACAAACGAGATGTTTTAACGGAATTAAACACATCTCCATACCATACTGCCAATGAAATATCTGAGTCTCGTAAAAATGCTAACGTTGGTAGACGAGTGATGTAGTTTACTAACATAGTGGACAAGATAACATACGAATACTAACCAGCTTATAAAAAAATAAAACTAAAATGTCCTACAAACCTATTTTAACTATTAATATTGTGTTACTGTCTTTTAGATAAAAATAATAACGCAAAAAAAAAAACAAAACATTTCAATAGGTTTATAAGGAGTTGACGAGGGGATAACACGATTTGTACTTCTATTTCTAAAATATTATTCTTATATTCATGTCAAAAATGACAGGCTGAATAATTAAATTAAAAAAAAATACATTACATTTAAAAAAAATTAAAATTTATTCTTTATTGACCAAAAAATGATTGTTGCAAAAGAAGGATTCAATGCTATACAGCATTCTCTAGCAATCAACCTTTGGTAACACAGAAATGCAATTATGCGGTGAAAAAAAATTGAAAAATGTTAAGAATAATCCGTCAAATTCAAGTTTATTCATAGGTATGTTTGGTGGAAATGTGGTCGCGTTTCCACCAGCCTTAGCAGCTACAACAGAGAGTATCTCATTAAATATTATAAGCTAAAATTTCGAGTTTATACTCCAATTATTTATAAAGACTGATATAGCACAGGGACTCCTTGTTCAAAGTATCCAGAGTTGGATTAAAACCAGTTTATCAGAGACGGAGCACATTAAAAATTTATTACTAGAGTATTGCATTATCTCATTATGTACATCGACAGAATATTTATAAAAAATAGACCGACTTCAAGTGTGATTTCATTATTCTATTTATTCATTCTTTGTTGACCACATTACAAAAATAAATATGATACAAAAGAGACACTTAGTGCTATATATAGCATTCAATCCCAGTGAACTTTCGGAAGAACAAATATGTAATTAGAGGGTTTTCCCAAATTTTCCACAAGTTCAGATAACGTGTGACGCTCGGGGGAAGCCGAGATGACCAACTGGTGAGTCATAGACGCAGGGCACAAATAATAAATGATCTCACTTGTTTATTGCGATAACAGATAGCGTTCAATCATTTTACTATATTAAAAGTTGACGTACAGCTGAATAAATTAAAATAGTTTTATATATGAACCCCATATTTTTAGGTTATTATCCCTTTACGGACAAAAATACTACCTCATGGTAGAATTCATAAAAATAGAAAATATCTGCAATTTGCCATAAAAACACATATTAAGTATTAAATAAGAGAACATACAATAGCACTTATCAGCATAAAATTAAATACGTCTAATACATACAAATCTAACGTATATCGGCAAGACGCGTTTGCATGTAGATGGCAGTAATGTGCGAGACGACTCCCAATATGGCAACACTCTTGTCGTCCGTAAGGCAAATAACACACGAACCGACACCCTCACCGCGACAATAAATACATGTACGCGGCGACAAAATATAATAAAACAGACAAACAAACAAAGAAATCATTGCGGAATAAATAAACCACGGAGGCGTAGCCGTGGCATGTATAGGTTAGTTATATTTTAGTCTCCCATCATAATATGGAGTCACATCATATATGACATTAAAGATGGCACTAGTGATACAGGATTGTTTTAAATTTATTGCGTATTTAAATAACTTTGGGATCAGTCACTGTACAGTATTTTAAAAGAGAGAGCAAAATCACAAATATCATCGGAAGAAAGACTAGAATTAATTTAATAAGTAGTCTATTAGCACAAAAATATTTTCGGCCATTTTTTAAAAGCTACAAGCAGAGCATCCTTATTCGTAAAGAATACAGAAGTATACGAGTACCTAGAAGTCCCAACTATCAAGGAACAAATAGAGAGTCTATGGATTAAAACCAACTAGCCATGAAATTACTGGGTACAAATAACTGCCTATCTAGACTCGATTCGAGAACTCGAGAAAGATCTCGTCTAGGTAGTATTGTAATATTTATTTTGTTTGAGATGGCATCTCACTGGATATACTCCAGCTAAAAAGAGCTAATTAGAGATAAATATAAGAAAAAAAAATTACATCAAATCACACGCCATAATGTCTAAAAAGGCACTAGGATAAATTTAATAAGTAGTGAAACTAGTTAGTTTTGGCTATAATTATATCACTGTGACGTTTCTACATGCCTCGACTGGCATTGACATAGACATTCCGCCATGTAAGACATTGTATTGCACATGTGGGATTTTGTTTGTTTTAGAAAACAAAGCAAAATTATAAGAAAATATATATTAAACTTAATTTTTTTAAAGTATATAGTGTACATTGCTTGGTCCTAAGCTTTATACAATTTTGAAACATCTTTTTCAGTTCAAAGTCTATTTTTAAAGAGTATTAACATTATGTCTTTGGTGAGATACGTTCATCGTAGTTGAACCGTAAAATCGATGACTATGTTTCACTAGGGCCATCTTTTAAAAGTTCTCTTATAACGATAGTTTTTAATTTAATTTTACTGATACATATTTTATCAAAAGTTCTTTTATTACTCGTTTGCTAGCCGTGTACAGTAGATTGTCAGGGGAGGGTCGTCCGTAACTCACGTAGTAGGTCGATAGCAGGTCGCTCAGAACGTCAGGATCGGCTCCTCGCGGTGGTCCAGTATATCTGCAACCACACATCGGTAACGTGAGCGGTACGTTTCGATATCGAGGTGTCTGTACGCGGTACGGTACATAAATAGCAACTGAACTTCGATTAAAAGTATAAGCTTTTTTCTTCAAAAACGCTCGTTACCTTTGGCGATGCTCCACCAGGGCAGCGTGACGTAGGTGAGGAACGCGTTCAGAGGCGTCGACTGCTGCCGCTTCCCCTCCTTCCACAGGTGGAACGTCTGCGTGAAACCGCGCATCGCCCACAGGGGGTTGTACGCGCCGTCGTCTAGCTCTGCGGGCGAAACATCGAACGAGGTGAATTAAACGGTTACGAGGACTACCGGCTCGATAGCAACGGGAGAAACGAGCGGCGAGGGCGGGTGACGAGCGAAGGGTACCGGCGGGCGGGCGGCGCGGCACGTCGCACCAGTAGTACACGTCGGTGCCGTCGGGCGTCGTGCGGCGCGGCGGCGCCCGCGCGCGCCGGTACAGCGCCGCGCCCAGCCCGCGCCGCCGCCGCGGCAGCGTCACGTACGCGCGCGCGCCGCCGCCGCCGCCGCCGCCCGCCGCCGCCGCCGCCGCCGCCGCCGCCGCCCAGCCCGCCTCGCAGCTGGGCAGCTCCTCCTGCCCGCGCACCGTCAGCCGCTCGCTCGCGTCCCGCAGCGTGCGCGCCGGCTGCAGCGCCAGCTCGCGCTCGTCGAGCGCGGCCGCGTCGGCGGCCACCTCGCACTCGGCGGCGGCGGCGGGCGCGGCGGCGCGGCGGGCGGGCGGCGCGAGCGGGCGCGGGTGCGGCGGCGGCGCGGGGCGGGAGGGCGGCGCGCGGCGCGGCGACACGACGTGCAGGCACGCGGGCGACGACACGTCGGGCTGCGCGCGCGCGTACACGTCGCGCATGCGCGGCCCGGCCGGCGCGGCGCCGCAGCACCGCCAGCGCACGGAGGAAGCCTGGGAGCCGCGGCGCTCCTCTACGGACAACAACACACGCGCGTTACCGCCGCCCACCCCTCGCGTCTCCCGGGCTCGGCGACGGCCCCGATCGACTACTTTTCGAGCGAAATCTACCGTCCCCGGCGTCTCCCGCTCGCCCGGTCGTCGCGGGACCCTACGACGAGCAGACGCGGGGGAGACGCCGCCCCGTCGACCGCGGCCGGCTTCCTCCGAGCGTTCTACGACTACCGTGTACACTGAAAGCTCCGCCTGACATCTAGCGTGCTCGTCCTGAGACTGTTCAGAGTGAACGAGAACGCAAGCCACGAATGAGAAGTAGCGACGAGTAGCCATGCAGTAGAAATCGAGAGCGAAGCGTGCCAGCGAGAATAGTAGGAAGTAGTAACTAAATTAACTGGTGCGAGAGAAATACGAGAGAAGTGGTCGCGCACGTACCGTCGCGCAGGTCGCCGGCCTCGACCTCGGCCAGCCCGCCGGCCAGCGAGTCGAGCCCCTCGTTCTCGGAGCGGCTCTTGTCGCGCGGGTCGCGGGTGCGCCAGCCGCCGCGCACGAAGTTGTTCAGGTTCGCGCTCGGGTCGCTGAGCCGCCGCTGCAACCGACACGCGACCCTCTAGAATTTGTCACGGGGCGCAGCACGAATGGGTAGCGAGAGCAATAGATACGCACCTGGTGCCTGTAAATGAACATCTCCTCGGGGTCCTCGTCCCAGTCGCTGTCCCACATGTCGGTGGCGGCGAGGCCGGGCTCGGAGCTCGGTGTGTCGACGCCGGCCGAGTGTGGCCGCGACACAGCCATCTCCGCGTGTCCCTTGCCGCTGGGGCCCTTCATACGAACGAACTCGCAGCGGGCCGCCGTCTTGCCGCCCAGCAGCCCGAACGACATGCGTTGCGCCACCTTTGTGGACAGCGATGTTTGCTGAAACGAAACCAATGACTGCATTAATATATCTATTTGATTTAATGCCTAATTCTACCTATATATAGTAACGTGTAAAAACCAACCTAGAAACATACCAAAATATACATACATACATCTCTGTCACGCCTGTCTCCCAAAACAAAGCCGTTAAAAACACCATATCAAGGACGATACCTCCCGCCAGCTGTTCGCCCTATCAAATCATTCAATATCAGCGACTGAGCGTTACCGCACCGCCACCCGTTACTCGCCGACCGGTTCGCACGCACCATATACTCATATTTTTCGGGCGCGTCAACACCCCGAGCGACGCGTTATTTTAAAATATGCCACCGCCGCTGTAGTAAACAATAATAACTGTAAACGAACCTGCCTCAACGACACTCGCCAGCATACGCCGTACGCACGGAACTGTAAGAGCAGTGGAGCCGTGACAGCTAGTGTCAACTGCAAACATTGTTCTTATTCATCAGAGTGCGACTGCGATTACTACAGTGTACGAGCATGTAAGGTGCTGACCTCGCAGTTGAAAGCTTCAGCAACAAGGACAGTGGGCACATTTAGATACACATTTAGGTATTTATTATTAGCAACCCACTCAACCGATGTTTATGGTGACTGTGTAAAATGAGCGATTCCTGTAATACACTATATACTGTCATAACTAGTCATTAATACCCATTTAGCTGCTTAAAATTTATGTCAGCATCCATGCTGGATTTAGCTGAACTTATTTTGTTGATTAACTCTAATCGAGACAGGTAAACATTTTTTATGTTACTTTTATAATACCGAGGCGGTCTCGGCAGACTCGCTCGAACACTCCCCGTCCTTCGGTTCTCTCATGTCAGTCGAGAACTCGAGACGAACGGAATCTTATAATAGTTAGGTACATTTTGAGTAGGCGGCTGCTCTCGTTCGGTTTGTTTACAAATTCAATACAATACATAATAAAACATCGAAGTAGTAGAGAATTCTGTTAAAGAATAGACAGTTTGTTGTCATAAAGCGCCTTGACGGCTTAACGAAATTTGGTATATACGTACTATATGGGACAGTTTTACGTTGGCGGGGCACCAGTGAAAGATGACAGATGACGATGAAAGCAGATCAATTAGCCCATCGTGACGAATTCGAATAGAATTAACCATGATGGTTTCCAGGGGGAACCGCGTGGAAGTCGACCTATTAGAGTGTATTGCTAGCATATATGGGATAGTTAAGATATATCCGCGATTAGCGGAGAATTCTCCGCTGATCGCGGTATCACCCGGAAACCGTACTCTACATTCTTACCTATGATCAGTACAGGCGAGGTTATCATATCACCTTCACCCATTTAAAATTCCCTCTGGTGATGGAAAACGTTATTAACAAAGCAAATCAATTCGGGTGATGGTGGTAGGCCCGCCTCCTGCCACATTATATGCTTAATACGAAAGTATCATAAAAAAAAATATGCTGTATGGTGCGTATTTAACAAAACAGTAATGCCTCTGACTGCTCCATCCAATATTACAGTCGTGAGTGTATTTTTTTTTGTACCAGTGGTTGTTAGTAATATTCAAACCGTAAATATAAATATAATAGATCCATGATTCATCTTTAATATATTTACTATGATTCAAGCACCATATGTACCGTCAGATTTAATGTATCTACGCACTTATTGTAAACACTATGCGGTTATGACAAACTAGCGACCTGACCCGACTGTGCATGATTTTTTTTTTAATAAAATACAGCCCAAGTTACTCCCTGACTATTTGGTTTTCTATAGGTGAAGCAATTTTTAAATTGGTTAAATTTTTTTTTTTTATTTATCAACTACAAACAAAAAAATCAAATGTCTCTGTATAAATCTGTATAAAGTTGGTTTAGATAGACAATATGTTCACTCTCAGTTTCAATGTTTATAAATTGATGTTCAACATCCTTATTAATGTGAAAGCGAGTCTATTTGTCCATCATGAAACTTGGCACACAGGAAGACATTTGCATAGAGAGGGTCATAGCAGAGGATTAATTTTATACTAGATACAAATTGGTAAATTTCACAGTATATAATCTACAAACCTGTATGATCGTTAAAATCATAAGGTCTCATTAAGTTACCAATTATAATAATGAGTCATACATTATTCAGACAAACTTCAACCTTTGTATAGGTGACGATTTCACGAAATGTTATTACATACCAGATAAATATTTGCGATAAAATTTATGATTGAACTTTAAACTCACAACGTTCATACTGGCCAACGTTAAAATATAATATTACTACAATATCTAGAAGAATCGATGAGTGTCAAATAATACATAAACGTTTAAAACAAAATGGTACACGCAATATTGAATACAAATAGAAGATTTATGAAATTTTCCGGCTTATGTATTGGACGATTTGTCTATTTGAGACATGTGCCAGCTTTTTATGTAACCAATATTTTCACGGTGAATTGTGAAAATATCATAACGATCAGTCCAGTCGTTAAATAAATATGGATCAAAATATGTTTTTTTTTTTTTTTTGATGAGTGAAAATGATATGGTAACCTCGCCTGCGCTAACGGGATACGCTGGCGGAGCACCAGTGAAGGGTGATAGATGAGAATATTGTTCATAATGAGACGAGTAGACTAAGGGCCCCATTGCTAGCAATATACTCGAACAGATCGACCTCCACGTGGTCCCCCCTGGAAACCATCGTGCTGAATTCCAAGTGTATTCAACACGATGGGCTAACTGATCTGTCTTTTCATTCTCACCTATCATCAATTACTGGTACCCCCCCAGTGTATACCAATAGCGCAGGCGGGGTAACCATTCCATTATCATCCATTAAAATAAAAACCCAAACTGAGCAACGCTTACTAGACAACTGATAAACATAACAAAGAATGTATTATTATTGTATGATTTCAACGCGATCGTACGAACTAGTAGTAACACAATCCGTCAGCCGACATAATTCGTTGCTGCCACCATATTCATAGGACCTACAAAAGGCAAGCCCACCGGTCACAATGGCAACCCATAATCGGTGCAGAAATAGCGGGCAGCGACCTCCGTGTGACACCTTTATAATCGCCCTCTTTCACTTCCTTGCCTCGTCGTCATCGTGACATCTGCGTTGCCAAATGCATTTTTTTATTTCTTCCAGAAATTTTTGATCTTTTTTTAACTTTTTATCACAAACTTTTGTCTGTTCTCACGTCTCACCTCTTCTTACCAAGTAACCACTACTAGAGGTCATAAAATAGCATTGCATTCTCTCTACAAATAAACAATATACGATTTAGAAATGCCAAAACTCTCAAATAAATTCTCCACACTGATCTTTTTTCCAACAATCTCTGCAACAAATAAATTATCCGAGACGACTTTTACCCCAAAATGAAAAAAAAATACAACGCTTTATGGCATCCACTAAACGCCATTTTTACCTATAAAATTCATACTCAAAATTATCGAATAAGCCTTGTATTGTTAGACATCAGTATTCAAATGTCATTTAACGGCAAATGTCATTGCGGCCGACCGGTCATAGCTAACAAACAAACAAACAGCAATATGATCCTTTGTTGACGTTTATTTTGTCATTTACCAGTGTTAGTCACATTTTATTGATTTAAACATTTGATCGGCAGTTTAAGTATTTAGGTATTTTATAGTTGCCAACAAGTAGTAGGGGGGAAAGAATGTATTCCTCCATTACCAGTAAGGGACCCTCTCGGGTCGGTGCTCAATCAATCTTCCCTGGAAACCATTGTGTTTAATTCCTCCTTTCGTTCGTTCATTCAATTAAACATTCCATTCTTTTAGTTAAGTTTTCAGCCATCGTCTTGATCTGAACCCTAACCGGAATAAAATTATAAAACTAATGGATAATTAAAAAAAATTAAGTTGCTTTGTTCGTAATATGCGGGTTGATTACAAATCGAGATATCGAATCGGAAGTGTGCGGGTTTATTAATCGATTAGTTCCCTCGTAACCTCTGATAGCGTATAACCTCGGCTTGGCAGCCGACAGCGAGGGGGAAGGGCGTGGGAGGGAGGTGCCCATATCAACAAGTTTCCGTCGCGACGCAGCAACGTCACCGTCGTCGCTGAACAACAAACAACAATTAGTCGAAAACCGAAACCGAGTGGCGGCGACTACTGCCAACATTTCGGGATAAATTATAGATAGATAGTGCTTACACAACACAACAATAATACTGTTACGCTGTTATTAGTTCATCACTATTTTTGGGATAAACCAACATGTCACGCGACGCTGGACGATATCCAGAGAGGTGTGATGAAACAATCAAATGGAATGGGAATGTTTATATAGACAATTGCTATATTTTTTATGTTCTACCCAATCGCGTAAATGTTATTATCATTCATCTTAATTCATTTGAACAAAACCGCGACATAACGTTATTACAATACCTATATCCTTGAGGCAATCTGGTGGTTTGTAAGTTACATAAACCTTATACACGTGGTAGAGTAAGTTTTACAAATTCCTTTTTATCACAAACGATCCTTGTTAAAGCACGAACGAGGATTTTGAATTAATTTCCTATATTATTTAATTGATTTTTGCAATAAATAAAAAACGGTGTTCTGCTGGGGTGAATAATTTTTAATTTTAATTACTTTTTTGTTACATGTCGTTACCATGACAACGCGTGTCTTTCTCGGTTGCCAGTATTAAACGTATTTTTTAATGACTGTACAATCCTAATACTGCGACCAGGCTGATAACATTCTCTTATGAAAACAGGCGATTAAGTGAACCTTATTGCAAAGCTACTTGGCCAATACCACTCAGTAACTTAGCAGTGGCGGCAGTATGGATTGTTATGAAATATACTGGAATCAGGTCGGGTCGCGCAACGATCACGGGCCACAATGGGATGGGAATGCAAGAGGGGACGCCATTTAAGCGATGTGCCAAATTATATCGGCGCCACGGCTGCCGTCGGCCGGGCGTTGCTAGCCAACTATGAGGAGTCAACATTGCACTCGGCTGATCAACTCAAAGCACCCCTAAAAGAGCCATTTTATATGAACTGTAATAGCGTTCATTTTGTAAAGTCCTCTAATAGTATTGTGACGCAGGACCTATTAAACTCGGTTGGATATATGAAACGAATCGTGTTACTCCCTGATCACCATCTGGACACTGTCACCACTCATGGTCAGAGCGCACATACACTACCACACATATACATATACACACCCATTTTTTATGGGTGATAAAGGAATGGTAACCCCACCCACGCTATCAGTATACAACGGCGGGGCACCAGTGAAGGATGATAGGTGAGGATGAAGCAGGTCAGTTAGCCCATCGTGACGAATTCAACAAGAATTGTTCACGATGATTTCTAGGGGGAACCACGTGGAGATCGACCTGATAGGGCATATTGCTAGCAATGGGGCTGTTAAACTCCATTGCTAAGAATCCCTTCCCCCCCCCCCCCCAACTAGAACTATTGGCCAATACAACAATTTACCAATCGGTGGAAATAGCTACGTATCTGTTAGTAAGATCTACTTAGTATAATTATACTACGTTTATAAATACAATGCGTTTTTGTTACTGCACCGGCTCACCCGTCAGATTTATGTAATTTGCTATAAACGTCTACTTCTCGGCCAACAGTCGTTTTCCTACAGCATATCAAATATGTCACCAATATGTGACAAACAATGTAACCAATATAGATTGTTAGTAATGCGGACTATCAGTCCCATTGCTAGCAATTACCCTGTCAGATCGCCTTTCACGCGGTCTCCTCTGGACACCATCGTGCTGAATTCCAGGTGTGTTCATCACGATGGGCTGACCATCCTTTTCTCACCTATTATCCCTTACTGGTACCCCAATAGCGTATACCGTTACTGCAGATGGGGTTACTATTCCGTTATCACCCATTAGGAAAAAAAAAATAAAGTAGCTCAGAAACCACCCATATATGAATGATATCAACCGTCGTTCGGACTTTAACAAAGCAACTTCAAATCAGAACATTAAAACTTGAGAAAAGTTGATAATGCAATTTAAAAAAGCCGATGTTCAATAACTGCAACTAAAGTTATTTTGCTGAGACCACAATATCGATATAGCCATCATAGGGTTCACTAGATATTACGACATTGTGGGTGGTCCGACGTAGACGTCATTACACTGACTCATATAGCGCGACAAGTTTGACATCATTATCTCTAGTTGTTCTCTTAACTTACTAGTTCCATTAACATGACGCATATATATTGGGTACAAAAAAATTTAAGGCTGGTCTCCGCAAAAAGGTGCTGCGTCTACAATAGTAATAAAATGACTAACACGGGAGACTGAAGTAAAGTAAGTTATCCTTACCGTTTGCAAAAAGAATTAACAAAATATTATTTCTAAATTGGCTAAGAGATATCGTGTAACATACATATACAAATTAGGAACCTTGAAGATAATAGAACTCTCTAAAAAAATATATAATAAATATAAACAAAAAAATGCTCAGTAAATAGTAAACAATTACCTACTGTGATACGAGTACATTTCTATTATTGCGAATGGTATCGTAGATGGCGGAGAGTGATAAAAATGTAATAAGTACATGTAAGTGTCCCTGAAGAGGGAGGCTGGCACTGAATCCAGGCTAATCGTCGGCGCCACCCCGCCACCCCGCCGCCCTACCTACCGTCCCGCACATCCGCCGTCGTATAAAATCCCCTATAAAACCTAACCGAGG